GTGTTGTGATTCCATTTGAGGCATTTCATACTATTGGTGCTAAGCTCTTAAGGCCTAATACATCAAGACTTCAAGCCCCATAAAAGGTATGTTTCCCTAACTAGTATATTATATGGTTTATGTCAAATGCATGCTAGTTATAGGTTTAATGCCTTGGAAACCATTTGCATGTATAATAGAGAAAACATAGATCCAAGGTATTTAGGGTTGTATGTGCACCATAGGATGTTGTAGTATACTAAAACCCAACAGGGGTGTCATCCACGTATAGATCTATACACAAACCCCCACTCTCCCTCCAAGAGACTCTGGTTATAACTACAGGCTATGATCATACACTCAATCGGTGTCAACCGACACGTCTCACTAGATCCTTAATCGAATTTACGCGAAGAGAAACATATAAAACACATTCCAGGCCCAATGAACCATGTAAGTGAACAACTAAGGCTCACTAAACATGTAAGTCATTTCCAGGCCCGAAAGGAATGAGATTATATAACATGGGCCAAAATATATGTAAAATGACAACTAAGGCCCATTTCACATGTAAGGTATTTACATGCCAAAATAGCACGCAAAGAGTATCCAAGGTCCGTCGAGCATGTTAATGGGTCAATGAGGCCCAATAAACATATAAAGAGTATTCAGGACCTATCAAGCATATAAATGGGTCACCAAGGCCCAATAACCATGAGAATTACATAATTAGCCCGTTTGTTATTATATTGCTAGTTTTAACTCAATTATTTACCAGAATGACATAAAAGGCCCACCTTTTGTAAAAAAAATGACATTCTTGGCCCATTAAGCCAATAAATTACAATTAAAGTCCAATTTTGGTAAAAATAACATTCTAGGCCCCTTTTTGGACAAAACTTGCATTTAAGGCTAGTTTTTGTAAAAATAACATTTTTAACTCACTTTTGTCAAAAACATCATTTTTGGCTTGATTTTTATAAAAAGTATATATTTTCGGCCCATTTTAGATAATTTCATCTTTTTGGCCCAAATTTTTATAATTTCACATCTTTAACCCTTCTTATTAAAAATTTACATTTTTGGCACAATTTTCTTGAAAATGACATTTAATCCCACAAAAGATCAAATACAAATTTTGGGCCCAAAACCGTGAGAAGCCCAAATAAGGCCCATTTATGAAAATGTTTACATTTTTAGTCCTTGTAAGGCCTGAAACGTCGAAATTTGCCATGTTTAGCAAAAAAATCCTTTTGAACTCCTTACTAGCCGTGAGTTACACAAATAACCCATTCTTTTGTCATTTTGTCACTTTTAGCCCTTTTATGAAGTTTTTCTTAGCTTTAAGTAACTTATATGTGTTTTAAACCTTTTTCTTGTAAGATAAGTTGAAATAAGTGTTATGTTATACCAATATCATCATCTTTTAGTAGCTCTTTAAGCTCATGAAGTTTACAACACATAAACACATATATAACTAGAAAAACACACAGAATCATGCATACACAAATAGATCTACACAAAAAAACTTGTATTCTCCCCCAAAACAAGGTAAAAATCAAAAATAGGGAGGGTATGAACTCACTTTGCTTTGAAGTTTTTGGTTTTTGGTGAGGAAATGAGAAGATCTCGGCCCCAGTAAGCTTCTTGAGAAGGTTTTCAAGATCTATGAAGTTCTAAGAGCATAGATCATGAAATGATGTGGGTTAAGAAGAGATTTTTGGTGTAAACTTGAAGTTAAACTATAGAGTCAAACAAAAACTTACCAAGAGTGATGAGCTTTGATGAAGAGTTCTTGATGTACCCTTAAAACTCTCAAAAATTAGGAGGATGGAGGGGGAAAGTTCTTTGTGCTAGAAAGGAAAAATGATGAGAGAATCTTGAGTTTGAAAATGAAGAGTGATGGTGGTGATGGAGGCTCTTATGGCCGAGAGTGAGAAGAGATAAGAGAGAGGGGAGTGTTGACTTATGAAGAGAGTGATTTGAGGGTTGCATGGATACATGAAATCTTGCATGGATATCCACTAGGTAATGTTGAGGTGTCAAACTCTACTTCCCTCCCATTTGTTTTTTTTTTGTTTTGTTTTTTTTGTTGGGTCGAGAATGAGGGAAAGGAAGAGAGAATGAAAGAAATTGTGCCTTTTCTTGGTTTAGTTCGAAATTATGAGGCCCAAGATGAAGGTTTTCGGCCCATTGGGCCCTCATCAGGTTTCACGACCCAATAGTGATAAGGAAAAGGGTTTACGGCCCAATGAAGCCCAAGAAAATAGTTTACGACCCATTAGGGCTTATGAAACCATTTACGACCCATGAGGGATAAGATGAGTCATTCTAGGCCCACATGACCCAAAATACTTTAGTTTCATGAGTGTGGGTCCAATTAGAGCCCAAATAGGGTTCCTTGGCCCAAAATAGCCAAATTGAAAGTTTACTGGTCCATTAGGCCCAATAAGAGGATCCTAGTCCATAATAAATTTGAACCAGGATTTTTAGGGTTTTCAACCCATAGTTGAATATATGTGATGTATTGTATTAGGTGTTGAACTTCACTCAGGAGTTTTGATTCAAATGGATGATTTCATTTTAGCATATAATATGATTTTCGCTTAGAGTACAAGTCTTACAATAGTTGATGTTTACATGAAAATAGAATTTCCTAGCTAAAAATGCTAGTTGTGACACCACCAATCAAGGAAGCGGTGGGTGAAAGTGGACACCCATTAAACCACCATTTTATAAGCAGTAACCTTATACCCCCCTTATAGATCGGCTTTGTGAATGAGGCATACTAACGGTAAGACTGACTCGTCTTATATATATATATATA